TTGAATTATTTGGTTTAACGCTGAATATTTTTTTTTCTGAGAGTGTACGGTGTGATAATTTTTACTCTGAAATGTACTTTTAATAGTTTTGACCTATTCACAATTGCGCTTTATTTGTGCTTTGCACTTTTAAAAAATTAGATTCAAATTTAAATCATAACATCCGTATCCTGAGATTTATTGCAATGAAAAATTTTCTGTTCCCTAAAAGAAGTAATTTAACTATAGTAGTGTGCAATTAAGTTTATGAGATACAACTATATAGTGCATTTAGCATCATTTTAAGTTGTGGCAAATTCTATCAATATAATAAAAGACCATGTTTCAAAATTTCTATCAGTGTCACATGAATAACATTATATTTTTAGAATACTTAAACTAACAGACAATATGATATTTTATTGAAAATTTATTTAACACGTAAAATTTTCCAAAACGTAATTAATCGAAATCAACATTTTTGTCCATCAATACATAATTTTAAAAGTATATCAAAGCTATGTAATTTAGAGTAGTTAATTATTTTTTCAATGTGAGTTATACGAGAAGTTTAAAATGAAAATTATGCATCAAAATAAAAAAAAATACGTATTTTGTAAAATCAAAACCGCGCATTTCGTAAAATCAAAATTACGTATTTCTTAGTAATTATTGTTTTTTCGATTTGAATTATCTGAAAAGTTGGTAAATATTCCATATAATTAAAAAGATTATTTTTATGAATCGTTGAAAAATCAAAATTACGTGTTTTTCAGTAATTAATTATTTTTTCGATTTGAATTATCTGAAAAGTTGGTAAATATTCCATATTATTAAAAAGATTATTTTTATGAATCGGATGACAATGACATCATATACATCTTTTCTCAGAATAAATCCGTTTCTGAATCGGTTTTAAAAACGATCATTACAAAACGGAAATTTTTTTCTTCATGGAACTGGTTTAAAATAAATTGTGGAATGCCTTTTTAAGCTCATAAATGAATCGTTGAATCTCATCTTTAATCATCCGTAAAATTCATAAAGAACTTGCAATTCAACATTTTACTTCTCTTATCGCAAACATGCCTCTGTTTTTATTTCGTTACAAGACAAGCTCTTATCTTAATTTATTTCTAAGAATTTTTTTTTTATTCTTCTTCTAGATCATTCTCCGGCTTTATGATTTTAACCTTTCTTCTGCTTCTTGTGGTTTGCGTTTTCCACTAATTGCTAACTTACCGTCAGTTCGATAACCACCCACTATGAAAATAAATAATTTGTAAACAACGAACTTATTTCACATTTTCCAGAACATTTATACCTATAAGAGAATTTTCAAACATTTCCCACCAATTCCCCATTCGCCCACTATAGAAATAAATAATACGTAAACAACAAATTACATATTTTCGAGAATATGTTTATTTATAAGAGGATTTTACAAACATTGTTACATTTTTGTTTCATGAATACCCTTTATTGATGCTCCATACATAATATTAATTTAGAAAATTTCTAAATAAAAATTCTATTTTTAACGCACTAATGGCTTATTTGAACACTAAGTCATTTTATATACATAAATTAAATCACACCCATTATTCGCCTTTTTCATTTTACAATAATATGTAACCTCTCGCCCTTTCACCATCAATCCACTATAAAAATAAATAATTTTTATGAATCGAAATTAGTTCACATTTTCTAGAATATATTTACTTATAAGAGATTTCCATAAACTGTGCAATTTTTTTTTTATCTTTCATTATTCATGTCCCATATCTCTTTTAGTTGGGAAAATTTCTACATTTAAATTCTTTTTAACGTATTAATAGCATACTTACCGGGACCGATTTACAAGAAAGAATTCGGAGCACGTGCCTGAGGACCCTAAATTATGAGAAACCTCCACATACCAAATTACAAATTACCAAATTACATACAAAAAATATTTTCTTTTTAACTAACTTGGCCTTTTACTTGCCGGGTACTAATTAGTACATTAGTACAAATAACTAATTTCCAACCTACTTTTGATCATTTTCACCAACAACTCTTACTCTATCAATTAAATGTAAGTATTTTTTTCATAGTTTAGCTAAATTAATTTTCAATTTCTTTATGTAAGTAGGAAATGCATATTCTAAATAAGGCTTCAGGTTGTTTGCAATTTGCGGTTGCGTAAAAAATTATCTTTTGATATTGTGCTTAAAAACCATGCAAGTTAACAGAAAGTTGTTGGCTTTCTTAGAGGGTCTTCAAGTGGCTTTGGGTCCAGGGTCCGGAGATATGTAAATTGGGCCCTGCATACTGAAACACTAAGACTTCTTATTTATGTGAATATAATCATGTATCCGAAACACTAATAATTCTCTTTCAGTGGTTTCCACTTACTGCTAACTTTTCACTAATTCACTATCAACCCACTATAAAAAGTAAGAATCTGAAGAAGAAAAAAAAGAATTTATTTCACATTTTCAAGAGTATTTTTGTAAGAGGGATTCCAAAAACCGTGAAAATTTTGCGTCATTACTAAACTGTAACGTTCTATTTCTCGTCAAAAAATTTATAAACATAAAAATCACCTTGTTACATTAATATCATACTAATACTAAAGAACCTTTTTAATAATAAAAGATAGTTCTTATAGCCACTCTTTTTGTTTAAAAAAAATATAAATTTAAGCGAAGGTAAATTTAGCGAAAGTAAATTTAAGCGAACAAATGGATAAAAAAATTTAAGCGAACAAAAGATAGTTCTTATAGCCACACTTTTTGTTTAAAAAAAATTCAAATTTAAGCAAAGGTAAATTTAGCGAAAGTAAATTTAAGCAAACAAATTGTTATAATGCTTATCATGGTGTAATTACCAAATTTTACCACATTTACCAATTTTTATAACATATTATAAGGTTATATATTGTTGTTATTTTTTCCTAAATCCTTACCAAAGCGTTCCGCTGAAAATTCCCAACTATTTGGTGTGCCCTTAGCGCCATTGTAAATTTTACCATATTCTGGTAGTTTTAACAATACTTTTTTCTCAGAATATAATTATAAATATTCGTTTATAAAATGATAATTCGTTAATAAAAATTACCAAATTTTTCCACATTTTCCCAAATTTTCTCACATATTATAAGACTAGTTAATTGTTAATTTTACCAAATTTCCTACCAAAGCGCTTTGGTAAAAATTACCGAGCATTTAAGTGTTCCCATAGAGACAGAAAAATGGCATATTTAATCGTATTCTGGCAGTTTTCACCATACATTTTTCTCAGTACATAAAATTAATTTTTCCAAGAATGATAATTAGGAAAAACTAACTTTAATTATAAAACCAAGACAAATAAAGAAATAATACTTTTTAAAAAAATTATCCCTCATAGTAAAAAACCGAACTTAATTAAAAATTCAGTAACCAGATTGCTAAGTAAATTTTATTATATAATTAGTTTTAACAATTTAAAAAGAAATATGTCATCCACAGACTTTGCTGTTGACTTCTTTTGCGTGTTTATAAAGTGAAACAAATTTTTGTTTTTAAATTTTTTCCGCTTTAGTTTTTTTTTTTTGGCAAGTACTAGTTTTACCTAGTAATGATCATTTTAAGCTTTGCGTATTTTGTGATGCTTTTAGAACATTTAAAGCGAATTGTTTGTACACAATCATAAAACTTGGTTATCCAATGATAATTTCGGGCAAAAATTAATTTTTAATAATTATATATAATTTTTTATTATTTTATTTCCATTCGGTCAAAAAAGTTTATAAGATATTTCTTTATAATACTTTATAAGATATCTCTTATAAAGTAGTTCAATGGTGAGGCATCTACAACTCAATCAACCTATATTTTGGTGCTAGTCGCTTTGTGCAGTTTTAAAAATAAATAAATAAATAACAAGACACATTAGTATCTCTTGACCTAAGGATTGGATTTTGCTTATTTACAAGCAATTTTATAATTCAAAAGGATTACCTTAAATATACAACAGTATTCGCGTAGCAGTTATTAAATTGTGAAATTCTATAAAAAAAGTACTTTTTTAAAAAATGAACGTACCCTTTTTGCTATATTTGGATATTCGACTCTCAAAATAGCATGATCTTTGCAATCTGGAAAATATGGTCCTAATAGTTTTGTGATGAAAGTGATAGAAAATTACTTTTTGTATTATTCTCTATATTTCTGGAATATAATATAGTTTCACGCAGTTATAAAACTCGTTTATTAATAGATATCTCTATGTAAAAAAAATTTTTTTTCAGTATTATTTATTAGTTTTTAATAAGTCTTAAAGCTTTTTTTTTTAAATATAAGGTATACAAATTTAGCATAAACAGCATATTTTTAAATTACAAAATCCGAAATGTGAGAGAAATCGGTCAAATAGTTCTTGAGAAAAAAAAATCTATAAATACTGCTTTTTTTTATTTACTACTATGAAAAAGTAAAATAAATAAAAAATATATCAACCTTCTGACCACTCTCTTGCCTAAGCTATTGGGACCCTACTTAAAAGATTGTGCTCCCACCCCATATTTTGAAGGTTAAAGATATTAAGTAAGCACATTTAAGTTTAGCCTTTAGAAGAATTAACAATGAAATGTATGTTAATTGTTCCAACAATATCTATGCTTTCCTACAGAGCTTTTACTTGGAAATCCAATTACTAGATCAAAAGTTATTAAGATAAGACTTTTTTTTTTTCATTTTACACCTTGTACATAGCGTTTATTGATTTAAATGAACAAAAAGATATTTTATGGTTCGTAAAATCGGAGCCAATCCATTCAATTATTCTTGTAGCAGAAGCTTATTTGATTGGAAAAAATAAAGCAGTTGCATCATTTTGATGTCCTGATATGATTGCTAAATATCCAGCAATCAAAACAAGTGAGATGATTTCACGCAATGACTTAATTTAGCTGTGTGAAAACTTTAAATGTGCTTTTCCTGTTTATCCAACTCTCGGTTTTCATGAAACTAATGTTTCTAATGTAAATTCTGACAAACCAGTTTTATTTGTTGTCAAGGTAGAGATTCAAGAGGCCTTCGAAAGGATGAAAAATGTGCGTGTCCAATTAATGTGTAAGAGCAGAGGAGGAAAAACATTTTCTTCAATGTACCAACACGTAGTGAGTTGAAAACTTGAGTCTCTAATTTACTGTGCTCCACGCGTGAGAATAACTTTTTTCCACCCGGCATGTTGAAAAACACTGCTGAAAGGTAAGTAAAAAACGCCATTTTTTTATAAAAATTACATTAATACGCACATTTGTGTTTAAATAAATCATATAAGTAACATACTAAAATCTAAAACTTACCATTTTATTGAGCTCAAGTCACTTAGATTCATTGGAAAGTAACGGATGATAAAGTTTATAGGAAATTTCTATAAAGAAATTTTATGAATTTAGCATTTATGAATTTTAAAAAAAATATCCTACAAGCTAATTTCGATTTATTGAAAGTCAACGGATGATAAGGGCTATAGGAAATTTCTATTAAGAAATGTTATGCATTATAATTATTATTCATTATAATTATTATAATTATAATTACGCATTATAATTATAATTATGCATTATAATTATTATAAATGTTATGCATTACAATTATTATAATTATAATTATGCATTATAATTATATAACTATGATTATGCATTATAATTATTATAATTATAATTATGCATCATAATTATTATAATTATAATTATGCATTATAATTATTATAAATGTTATGCATTAAAATTATCATAATATTAGCATTAAAAATAACCAAAATATTTTTTTGCTTGTAATTAGAGCATCAGAAAAAAGTAAATAAAAGGGACACCGGTGACTCATAAGCGTCAATAGAAAATTTCAATAAACAAATACTATGAACTTAGCATTATATATTTTAAAAAATCTCCTATTAACTAATTTCGATTTTTTGGAAGATACCGGATGAGAAAGTCTGAAGAAAATTTCTATGAACAAAAACTGTGAACTTAGGATTATGGATTTTAAAAGAACTCCAGTTAACTAATTTCTTGAAGGTAATAATTTTAGCCCCTGGGACTTATATTGTTTTATCTGAAAAATTCAACTATTACCACTAACCACTGCATGTTCTTAATGCAATATGTTCCAATTAAAGAGTAAAAATTAGCGTTAATATGAATATTATGTCATCACTACCTGAAGCAACAGCATTTATTTACGTTATTAACAATGACTATTTTTATATTTACCTGTGTTTTTTATAATATAAGATATGCTGCAGTCTTAATGATAATTTAATGATTTTTTGACTATTTAGATAATTTTATTTATTTTACTTTTAAATGTTTTAAAAATTGTTTGCTGAGAAAACGACTCAAACAGTTACCATAACTGTTTTTACACCGCTGTAAGCTCTATAGTTTGTGTTGAATAACAAATAAATACAAGTAAATAATTACAAGTGTTTATTTTTTTTCTTGTTGAGATTTATATCTTTATGTAAGAGTGTTTTTCCATTTTTTTCTGATATTTTTATTTAATAATTTTCATTTACCTAAAGTCATCAAGAAAATAATTATGGAGCTATTCATACATGTAGAAAAAGTCTAGTAAAATTACTGCATTGACATTATGACATTTCTAGTAAAAAAAAAATCTGTATTATTTAAACTATTCAGATGGAAATTTTTCCGCTTTGCATGGAAACGGTTTTCCGCTAATTCTGGTTTTTAAAATTGTAGTTGTCATTACCACAGATTTAGTAAAAAATATGAAGCAGAAAAATAAATTTGAGAAAAATAAATTTTACCGAATAAATGGTTTTTATGCCATGGTTTAAGATAAAATAAAATTAACAAATTTTACCACATTTACCAAATTTTATCATACATTTTAAAACCATTTTTTATTGTTTACTTTACCAGAATCATTACCAATATGCTTCCCTAAGGAGTATCAAATTTTTGGTGTTCCCATAGAGCCAGAAACATGAAAGATTTGACCATATTCTGGAATTTTTTACCAATTTTCTTCTCACTGTAGATATTTGAAATATATGGTGAAAGAATTGAAAGAATTGTAAAGGAATCTTTGTGAAGGATTATAGAATATTTCACCTAAAAGAACATATCACTTAATAGAATTACTTGTCTTTGTAAGTTAACTCGAAATAGAATGGAAAGAACAGTTGCTAACGTAAACAAAGCCGCGTTTTAACAACCAATCTGGATCGAGATAAGCACACTACGTCACTAGTAGGTATACCATTCTGTTATATTAATCATTTAAAAGATAACATTTGTGATATTTGCTAACTTGCAGCTTTATTTAATTAAAAAAGGAATTTATTACAAGTTCATTAATATTTAAATAATTTTATTTGCATCTATATCAGGTAAAATTAATTATCAACCTGGCAACACGCGTGATAGCTAAGCAAGCGAATTAACATTTTTTAAGTTCTTCGAAACTACGTGTTTATTTTGTTTTGTTTTTGTATTTAAAATGTGTGAACAATTTAAAATCAAAAATAATAATCTATCAAAATATAAAGTTTAATATCAAAAATAATAAAATTTAAAAGCTAAATTAATGAAGAAAAATATGCTTATTCGTTTTGTCATTATCGTCAATGATGCGTAATTAATGTTAAAAATTGATTCTACTGGCATTGTGGCTATTTTAATTAGTGGTAAATATACTAACATAGGCATGAAGGTACCTATTATAAATACTGTGGTTGCCTTTTTAAGGCCGCCCGAAAGGGAAACATACTGGAGAAAATTGCTTGATTGTGGTAAATTTTACCCATCGCACTGTAGATAAATTTCGGATTAAATAACGCTAAAAAATACCGGCACTGGTATACCGAAATTTTTACTGTTATAATTACTGAAAAATCACTGAGTCACTCTAAGATAAATATTACTGTAAAAATTATGGTAAAATATTAAACTGTAAAAATGAATTTTATGGATGATGCACCTAAAGTGCTGATACTTTATCTGGATTTTTTTTATTACACATGAGTTACTCGCGAACAATAGAATATGCCATATGATAATAAATACAGATAATATTTCTTGATGAGCATTTTTACAGTTATTTCAAGTCATTAGAAATAAAGCTCAAATCATGAGTTTATAAACGCACAGCACCAAGCTTAGAAACACGTGTGACTAAGAAGCTGCTGTTATGCTTTCTAGGATGGATTACAATATCAATTTTTATCTAAACACGAATTATGAATAATTTTTATCAATTATTATCTATCGATTTCTAAGAAAATTGAAAAATCAGAAAGTCACAAAGTATGAATGATGACATTATTGATAAACAATGGATTCAAAATAAGCAATTATGTGAATGAATTGAATAAAAATTGCAATTTTTTTCCTTTCATTAATTTATTTAATTTTATCTTATTAATTAATTTATTATTCTGTGTTTTAATCACAAAATATTAAACTAAACAGTAACATTAAAATTATTGTTCTAATATAAATTTGCATTCATGTTTTAAGCAGAAATACAATTTATTCTAAAATAAATGTTATTGTCGGCATGCAAATTTTAGATGAAGAAGGTATTTCAAGCCACAAATACCGAGAATCATTATATTTTTAAGAATTCCAAAAGCATTCTTTATGTTCTTTTTTTCAATTCATGCTGTACATAAAGAGCAAATTTAAAGATTGTTAACGGCAAAAAAACCTAATAAATATTATTTCAAGGGCACATTTAAAAAAAACACATTTTTGAGTATTTTAAAGATGCTTTAATTTTATTTCTATCGCTAGAAACACTGTTAAAATACTGTCTAGTAGATTGCATGTCAAGGAAAATCTTCATTATCATCTTTTAACCTTTATTCAAGATCGTCTGCGTAAGATTCTTAAAGCTAGTTTAATGTTGAAATCGTAAATTTTGTCACTTTTTACAAGCAAAACTTATAAATCAGAAAATTTTTTAACATTAAGCACCAATTAAAAATATTAATCTATTTTACTGTTTTTTTAGTTTCAAACTCCCTCTTAAAACAAAAACTTTTTTAAAATATGCTGAAATAGAGATTCTAATTTAGCAAATTTATTGCTGAAAATCATCGTCATGCTTATTCAAGATCGTTTGCTTAGTTATTAGAAATGTTTCTTTTTATTTTAATCAAAGGAAAAATATAGTTACGGTGTTTCTTTTCATTATTTTTCATTTTTAAATTTTGTTTGACTTTGAAACAGTAAATTTCATTTATTTTACGAGAGTAATATGTAAATAAGAAAATTTTCAATTATTAATAATATCAACCTATTTGATTGCTTTCTTAGTATCAAATACGATTGGATGCCAGCAAGTGACGTAGTATGGGTATCTCGATTTTGATTGGTTGGTAAAATGTGGCATTTATTTACGTTAGTTCTTTCCATTGTTCTTTCTAACTGTTCTTTTCATTAAACTTCGAGTATGTAAAGACAAATATCACTTCTTTTAAGCGACTCATTCTGTATTCTTTCACAAAAATTTCAATTCTTTCACTATATATTTCTTACTTAACGCAAAGACAGGGATAAGCAAACTAATTATGCATCGAAGTTGCCCGGTGCACAAAAAAAAAATATATCATGGTTACAATAAAATAAATCTAAGTTAATTAAAACATGTAGATAAGAAAGAATGATATTTTAACAAATTCGATGTGTAATACGCTATTTTAATTAATTAATTTTACGTTAACTAGCATTCTAACTTACGTGGAGATACTTAACTCGATTTTGACAGGCCATCTTGTTTATAAACTATCAGCTGGTACTGATGTCATAGGTCACGTGGAAGTGTATCAGTGATCGTCTTCCTTTCGATTTGCAAGTACCCAATTCTACTCGATGTTCTTAAACTTTCTATCATCTCTTATTTTTAATTACTTTGTGGACTATCACCATAAAAGTTTACTCCATAAAGTTTTATTTAAATTTATGTTTAGAGTTGTAATATATTATTTTTAAATATTTACATTTTGTTAAGTTACAGATGTGATTACTTTTTCTATAGGCTATCTTGACATGAAATATTTTTTCTGGTTGGTAAAGGAAATAATTGTTTTGCTATTTGTGACATACATTTATCTTCATCGTAAGTATCATTCGCTTTAAGTTTTTTATTCTTTCACTAATAAGAAAAACTTATAAATACAGATGTTTTATGTACGAATAAAAATGTTCGATAGATTAACAATATTTAAAAGCATATTCAAATACATTTTCAGAATAACTAACATTCATTTATTGAAATAGTTCTATTCTGCATTTTTTCGATGAGAAATGTTAGAACTCTGAGTATTTAACTAAACTATCTTTTCAATCTGGAGTTTTTTATGGCTATATCACACGAGAGAAAATATGTGCAACTGCAAGTGTAACTGCAAGTGTAAGTGCAACTGTAAGTGAAATTTCTCCAAAAATTGCTCGTGTGATATAGAAATCACGGTTGCACGAAATATCTGCAACCGTTCAGGCAATTTCTTTCATGAACCAATCAGATCGTTTGCTTTTATGACGTTTCAATTTTATGTGATGACGTTTACAAATGTAAATAAAAATGGCGGCGACGTTGGTGAAGAATGATCGGATGAAATTTTTTTATAGACGAAAAGGAACAGTTTTTTAGTTTAATAATAACATTTTCTTTAAAATCAAAGCATTAAAAATACTTTCACACGATGAAATAACCATCTCAATCATCTCAATGCAGTTGATGTACTACCATAACAGGAACCTGCACATCATTTTAGTATCGGTGAGTATAGTACACTCTTTTCTAAATAAATTTTCTTTTAAAATATTTATTTATTTTAAGCTAATAAAATTAAAACTTATTATAATTTGTTCCGATCAAAGTTTTAATTACTTTAAATAGAAATAATTTCTATTTTTATATATGTACAACCT